ATGATGATGATGATGATGACGTCAAAACCGGCTAGTATCGCGAAAGGCAAAACAGAAGACATTCGGTTTGCAAATCTTCTTCACTCACACCATGAACATAAAAAAATATTTGAATTTTCAACACCAATGTGAAGTCAGTCAGTCAGTCACTTCTTTTATATAGGTCACGAAGTAAGTGCGCGCATCACAAAAAGCAATTCCAACACTGACGAAAGCAGACTTTTATCGAAAGCAACCTTCTTTTTTACCGGATCAATATCTGTCTATCTGTCTGTTTTCGACATAGAACTTTGCACCGATGTAAGGCAGTTCAAGTCACCACACTCCATATAGCACATAAAAACAAGAGAAGAAATGCGTAATAGAGACAGTAAACAGAGGTGTGAGACAAAGGAATAGTGATAATGAAATCATAAGTCGCAAGGAGGGTGGATGAATCTCCGCCAGCCATTGAGAACGATGTTGAGATATATCACTAATTGTTTCCAATCATTGGTTGGTTTTTACCGTCCCGACAACCCAAACCCGGAAAGTCTAAACCTCTCTACGTGGCCGACCAGCTTAAACTAACTGTTGTGGATTTCATTGACTGGTGCCATGTTTTGGTTTGACCACACCACTGGCTAGCTCTTTTCCAGCCTGACCCTATGTCAGCTAACATCGCTGGATCAATAGTGCAGTCTGAATTGACGGCTGGAAAGAATTAGCAACAAGAAACTGTGGAAACACGCACCCTAATGAAGAGCCCTTCATTCATCAAATAAATATAGCAGGAAATGGAGATAGATGGATTTTACACATGCTAAAGAGACTGTCGAATGATAACACGCGCCCAGACTGGCCCTTGCTTGAGTGGAACCAGAATGTGGAACAAAGAATTGACCTTTAGTCCTAGGATGATATGAAGGAGATCACACAAGGAGGAGGGAGATTAAAGATTACGCACAATCGTGGAGAATGAAGAGGACAGCAAAAAAAAATAGAACAAAGTGGACACGTGCTGTTGAAGGTTTAAATTCTACTCTCGGAACATACACATCATTGGTGATGTCTGTCTGTCTGTTTTCGACATAGAACTTTGCACAAATGTGCAGAAGTTCAAGTCGCCACACTCCGTGTAGCACGCGAAGCAAGAGAAGAAAGTACAAGAAAAGCATAATAGAGACAGTGAGCAGAGGTGTGAGACAAAGGAGTAATAACGAAGAACAAAACAGTTTTATTGGAGATCATAAGTCACAAGGAGTGGATGCATCTGCATCAGCCACTGAGAACGATTTCGAGCCATGTCACCAATTGTTTCCAACCATAGATTTTTACCGTCCCGAGGACCCCCTCCAGTCAGGAAGTCTACACCTTCCTATGTGGCTTAGACCAACTGTTGTGGATTTCATTGACTGGTACCAAGTTTTTGTTTGACCGCCGCTAGCTTTTTTCCAGCCTGACCCTATATTCGCTAACATTGCTCGTCAAGGGAGGCGATGGTTTGGCATACGTAACACATGTCCTAACCATCTCAGTCTTTGTAGCTTCACAACTTCGTCGATTGATTGATCATTGGTGATCCTGAAACAGAAATACCCATGACTCTCTCTCTCTCCTTCCCTCGCACTCTCAGTTAATTTTTCTTTATCAACCCAACACATACACACACACCTACGCACACACGCAAACTAAGTGTGTTTAAAATAGCGATTGTGTCTGCTGTGTTGAAATGAAGGATAAAAATTAATACAACAAACCAATACTTAAAAATTAATTCACGAGAACAACTACAGTGGGAGAGAAAGGAGAGGGTGTGGGGGACGAGACCGAGAGACAACTTTCTACCACCGCCAGTGATGCGTGCGTGCATCTGTGTGTATGTATGTCCGTGTTTGTATGCGTATTTGATAGAAAAAAACACTTTAATGTATAACAAAAGAAAAAAAACAAAATTAAAACCCCACAGTAAGCGATTACAAAAACTGTATCGTTTCGTGTTAGCTAGTAACAAATTACAAAAAGGTCAGCAAGCCGTTTTTGTAAACGGAAAAACTTTGGAGATGAACATAAACAGCCAAATACACACACACACACACATACACACACGCACAAACCAGGGAACCGATAAATTTTTGGCTTTAAGGTGAACTATAAACAAAAATTTTCTAGGTTAGACTAAAAGGTTACAACAACACACAATGTGTGAAAACAATTACTCCAGGAGGTAAAACAAAAAATAGAAAAACAAATTTGCAAATGAGGGCAGGCAATGGTGGTGGTATATATACATGCATATGATTATTTACATATAAGGCTGATAACAGCTAGAAGTGGAATCCAAAATGAGTGTTTCGTCCTATTTATGACTCGTCATCTGGATGTGTCTGCATTTCAAGTGTTGGTTTGGTTACAGGATTTCATCATGAGCTGACATTGGTTAGAGAACCGCTGGAAAACAAGCTGGGAGTACTGCTTCTCTAACCAATGTCAGCTCATGATAAAATCCTGTAACCAATCAATCAAATCCCTACTAACCAACACTTGAATATCAATGAGATTGCTCACTAGCGACTTTCCCTATTCAGGTAGGTAGTTACCTGGGATTCTAGTGAAAAGTCGTGACCAGTAGGATACAGCAGGTTAGGTGTAAGGACAAATACTCGCCACGGAAGACATTGGCTAGCGGTCGCACTATGTTGTGAATTGCCAGAAGTTAGAATTCATGGACTGGCCATTGGATCACGTCCCAGTGGCTTAATGGTCTACGTGCTAGCTCGCCTTGTAACCAGAAGATCCTGGGTTCGAACCCTGGCGGTAGGTGCGCACTGTTGAAGAGTTCCAAACCAGGTCGACAAAACAGCTGTCCAGTACTCTCCTTGGTGGTTTTCCAATGGTTCTTTAACCAGTGCCTGCATTTTTTCGTAAGTGACTGACTGGAGAGCCTCTGACTATGAGTTGAACCCAATACCTATCGTTTCATCAAACGCCGAAGCTCTACCTATCCACCATGTTAAAGACAAAAGACTTGGCCAAGGAATGTTTATTTGGAATTTGGTATCTCCATATAAACAAATTACATATAACTTTTCTTTAAATCACCATTTGCGCAAATCTTCCATGTTGTCTGCCACTTCTGGTTTTCATATTGTGTTTCTTTGTGTCCCTTTCAAGTCGTTCGTGTATCTCCGCAACGCGGTATCATTTGCTTTCTCTGACATCAAAACTACCTGCCTAGTATTTGATGGCTTTATGCTGATGAACATCTATATATATATATATACTACTGATAAATTTTATGAGTAGACAACTTGCGTCACGAGTGCAGACACGTCATCCTTAGAGTTGACGAGTCCCAAATAAGGTACAAAATGTGCATCCTGGTGGATTCGACCACGGCTAGTCAGTTACTATCCACAAATTATGAAAAGTAAAAGTAATTCACGAAAAACTGCAGGATGGTGAAGGGGTGAAGGAATGGAGATGGAGAGATGACTCTCAACCTCATCCAGAGTGTAAATGAGGGAAGATAATGGGAAGGACTGGTGATGTTTAACCTTCTGTATACCACAATTTATTTGAGTGTATCTTGATTTCACACAGTACTTTTGGTACAAGTATGATGTGATGTCGGTGGACCAAATTTTGCAGGCCGACCATTGATATCAGGTGTGCGTCGGCAAGGGATCGAACCCTAGACTATTTGCATGGTCGACAGGGACGCACAATAAGCTTGATGGTAGAATCCAGGATGCACTTCTCATTTCAGGACTCGTCAGTTGGATGTGCCTGAATATTCCCATGGAGATTTGAACACACAACACACTCATCATCTGAAAGACACCAGAGGGCTATCTAATGGTAACCGAAATAACACATTATGGAAACGTCCCATCCCAAGGGTGACAACACATGTTAATACAGATTAAGTATTTTGAGTGTTCGTTTGCAAGGATTTGATTGGTGGTCATAGGTTTGATTATGTGTTGTCATCAGTTAGAGAACCATTAGAAAACCACCACCTGGGAATGAGTACTGGAAAGTTGTTTCGCCCTAATCTCTTAGGTCTCTTTATCAGTACACACCTACTGGTAGGGTTCGAATCTAAGATTTTCCGGTTACAAGGCCAGTGAGCTCGTGAACCATTCATCAGCGACTGGGACCCGACACAATGGTTAGTTCATGAATTTCTGCCAACTCTGAGATAGACATATATGTGGCGCGACCACCAGTCAAAGATCATAGGTGTGAGTAACTGATCATCATCTCTTACCTGATTTGGTGGACTCCGCCGGTTACAACTTCTCACTACAAGTTCAGGTAGCTTCCTCTATGTACAGCCAGTCGCCACTAGGCGTCAGATTAATTATCAAGGATTTGATTGGTCGTCACAAGTTCAATCACAAGATAATATCAGTTAGAGAACTACTGGAAAACCAGCAGGCAGTACTGGACAGCTGTGCCGTATAGTCCCTTCATACTATTTTCAGCTATTTATACTATCAAGAATTGGCAAAAGTTAGAATTCATGAGCTTGTCATCGGATCGAGTCCAAGTGGTTTATGGCTGGTGTACAAGTTCGTTGGCCTTGTACCCGGAAATTCCCGGGTTCGAACCCTGGCAGTAGTGGGTGTGTACTGATGACGATGATAATGAAGAGTCTTAAAAGACTAGAAGAAAACAGTTGGCTGTCCAGTTACTCCACCACCAAATAAGTATATCGTTCGAAGAATAGTAATCGATCAAACGGGAAGCAGGAAATTACGTCAACATATAGAGAGTGTAGGTTCATAGTGTGAATGAAAAAAAAATGAAAGAGAAGTTTCTACCAAAGACTATTGAAATTTTTTTTCTTTTAGGAAGGGATTGGAGAGAAATTTCACTCCATCAGTTTTATACAAACACCAAAACGAAAACTAGAATGAATTTAGAAGTACAAAAACCTTCCAGAGACCAAATTGTATACGGACAGATGATGGCAATAATAATAATAATATAAACAGTTAGAGAAGTAGACTTACCATAGGTCGTACAACCTTGATCTGTGGTGGCTCCGCTTGACTTATATGCTCCATACTGACTATATTTGACCAACCTGATGGTGGGACTAAATGCAGACCAGTTGAGGGATCTAGCGCAATCACTCGGAAACGATAACGTCTACCCGGTTCGAGTGGATCACCAGTTGCATATGCATATGGTGATGAAAACTGCATATATTTAGAAAATAGAAAGAAAACACAAGCGTCAGGAATAGAATTTTAATAATAGCAATAATAATGGCTTAAATGTAAGCATAGTAGAGAATTTTCAGCGTATTTAAATTGAGAAATACCCACTCATCGAACTGGATCGTCTAGTATCAAAATGGTGTTCAGCAGTACATCGTGTGACGCTGTGTTATTCTTTCCATCTAAAGGTATTAATATACAAATCGTGTTGATGTTAGATGGTTGGAGGTAGACAGTCATCGGCAGGAAGCCTTGTCTAGACCCTAAGTTTCGTGCTTATTGGCTGGCACTCACAACCAGTCAATCAGTCAGTCAGCAAAACGTATCTGCACTCACCTTGTAGGAAGTTATGTCCTGTCCCTGTTTGAGATTTGAAACTGTGTGTCAACCAGTGCTGCCTGCAGTCAGCGATATTGCCTGACTGATAGAATTCAGTCTGCACCAAACAAAGCAGGCTAGACACATCACACTAGTTACTGACTAGTGTTCAATCAAAATCTCTATGATCTGTTTTCCTCATTTCTATTCAAGTGCTGACTTGTAGGGATTTGATTTGTTACAGGATTCCATCATGGACTGATATCAGTTAGAGAACCATTGGAAAACCACCTGGGAGTACTGGACAGCTGTTTTGTTGACCTAGTTTGGGACTCTTCATCAGTACGCAACTACCGCCAGGGTTCGAACCCAGGACCTTCTGGTTACAAGGCGAGCTAGCTCGTAGACCATTAAGCCACTGGGATCCGATCCAATGGCCAGTCCATGAATTCTAACTTCTGGCAATTCACAACATAGTGCGACCGCTAGCCAATGTCTTCCGTGGCGAGTATTTGTCCTCACACCCGACCTGCTGTATCCTACTGGTCACGACTTCTCACTAGAAGCCCAGGTAACTACCATATTTGGGCAGTGTTCTAAATGACAAAGATAACGTTAAGCGCGAAACCTATGACTTGATTTGTTGTTAATAACATAATTTTAGACTCTTTTATTTCTCTCTTATTTGTATTCTATGGTGAACAACCTTTTTGAGCATACTTAGCTACCTAAATTTACTATCATTGGCTTACTTTTTTATGCTTTATTCTATTCCTTCTTTTGTGTATCTACTGGTCCCGACTATATTATCACTATGAGTATTACAAAATTGTCCTGTCATTAACCATCATATAATATTAGTTTTGTTTTTTTTTGTTCGGCAATATTAAACTGACAATCTTGGTTGTGAATGCCATTATTACCATCTTAAAATATTTTGTATTATGCAGGATCACTTACATCATCACTACAAACACCGCATTAGACCTGACAATAAAAAAAATAAACCTCAAGTGTTTATTTTATGATTGTTTAGTGTTGTTCAATCAAATTAACTGATCATCTTGGCAATAAACATTCTTATATATGATTTCATAACTTCTAGTATGATTATAGCTTTACTGTCACCACGCATACACATATCATAGCTCCCACTAACCAATACTGAGATATTATTTGTTATTGTTGTTTATTTTCCTTTCTACTTCTTGGTATTTTTTCGCATTATTTTTTGTTATTTTGTGTTCTTTTTTGTTGTTTTTTATATTTATTTTTTGAAATACTCGTTTTAAATGTTTGATACAATTAGATGCAATATTGTAAATATGTGCTGAAAATTCCACACTGTATCGCTAGTACAGTGTTTCTGGAATAAAGCAAATTATTATTATTACTATTATTAATAAAATGGAAACGAATTGAACACAGACCACTGATGAGACCGTCGAATGACAATTCCCCTCCAGGCAGTCGCTCGACTATGTCATCACTTCGAGAGTGACATGGAACAGGTTGTGCGTAGAGGAGATGATGGACAGTTAAATATAACCGCAGAGAATAGAACAAAGTGGAGACATGCTGTGGAAGCTCGATGTTCCACTCGGAACCCAAGGGTACAGTAATATCTATGAGTTATACGCGATGGAAATTATATTGTAACTATAACAGTTAACTATCGATGTATGATTGGAATTTCTTCAGTTCCTAACATTCCTACAGGAGTTTCATTGGCAGTAATGTTACTCTTCTCAGCTTCTCGGCTCTCTCAGCTAAGATCATGTGTAGGGTTGCTAGCCCTTACACGCCTAGCTTTCCCTCTTTACTGGGGTGTTACAATAAGCTGGCTAGGCCGGGTTGCGCAGTGCCCCCCAGTCAAAGAATCGGACCAAGTATTAGCAAATATTCCTTCACTGAGCCATCGATGCATCGATTCCCTAGAGGATCAACCATCAATCATTTGGTTGTTAGCCGAAATTCATCCCTCCCCCGCCCAACCTAATCCACGTCACAGAGGCACGAACAAATGGAATAGAATAGAACTGACATCTATTCCCATCATTCTAATAGGAAACGACGAGTTGAGCATCACTTCGAGGGTCATCTAACGAAGGCATGAAGGCCAATGGACAATCGTGGGAGCAGCTAAAGAAAACCGCAGACGACGAAAAAAAGTGAAGATGTACTGTTAAAGACTCCGTGGATCGAAAGGTACTATGGCAATGTCTGACTGTGAAGGGAGTGCCAAGAAAGTACATTGCACTAATCAAGGCACTCTATTCAAACTCATATAGTCGTGTAAGGGCTTATGGGGAATTGTCATCTGAATTAGTAACAACCAGTGGTGTCCGACAGGGATGTCCACTTTCCCCATTTCTGTTTAACTTCATCATAGATATGCTGATGGAAGTATCCTTAACTGAACGTAACGACTTAGGAATCGACTTGTTACCAGGGAATAGTCTTATGGACTTAGAATATGCAGATGACATAGTCCTGTTAGGGGAGGATGCTGACAAAATACAGAGTCTTCTGAACACCTTGAGTAGCAGTCTTTGTATGTTTGGCATGCGGTTCGCCCCTGCAAAATGTAACATGCTGCTACAGGACTGGACTACGTCAACTCCTAGCTTAGTGATAGAACATGTTGACCACTTCACCTATTTGGGAAGTTGTATTAGCCAGCACCAACGGACTGATTGGCGATGAAATCTCAGAACGGATCCAAAAAGCTCGAGCTGCTTTCGCTGACTTACACCATCTCTGGCGTAGGTGTGACATCCGTCTATCAACCAAGGGACGTGTGTACCGCTCATCAGTTCGCTCCGTCCTTCTCTATGGCTCTGAAACATGGCCAATACGAGTTGTTGAAGACATGAAAAGGTTGACTGCTTTCGATCATAGATGTCCGCGATCTCTGTCTCACGTTAGGTGGTTTAACAAGGTAAGTAATGTTGACGTTAGGCGTAGAGTGTTGGGCGAAGGGGGAAAATCAATCGACGAGGTTATAAAGTTACATAGATTGAGATGGCTAGGTCAGGTGGTGCACAGGCCTAACCATCGCCTCCCCCTCCCTGACGGGCGGGGATTACTAGCTGATATAGGTGGTGCAGGTTGGAAAAGAGTAAGTGGCGGGTGGCCAAACAAAACATGGCCTCATCAATCCATGAAATCCTTGATAGTTAAACTGAGTCAGGTAGGAAGGGAGATGCACACTTCCGGGTTGGGGCCCTCGGGACTGACTCTAGGAATCAATCAATGGATGGAGACAATAGGTGTCATGGCTCAAAATCGTTGTCAATGGCCAGCTCAGATGTATTCAGTCTCTGTAATCTTCCATATTCCTTTCTACCATTACCCATTCTGTTTCACTCTTATACTTGTCAGACTGTATTGATTCTCTCCACTCATCTTCTTGTCTACCTTTGTGTGCTATTTGGAAGGTGGCAACTCGAACTGGTGCGTTTCGGTGCCAGGTTCTATGTTGAATCCAGATAGACAGACAGACAGACAGACTGTTGAAGGCGTATGTTCGCTCGACTCGCAACCCAAGGGGAGAAATAAAATTAATAACGAATGATATAATAATCAAAAGCAATACAACCAACCTGTTGATTCAGTGCAGTTGGTTCACTCCAACGTATCGCTTCATAGCCAACTAAACCAATTAAAGCGCGTAAATCAGATAAATCTGAGGCGGTTTTATTCTCAATATTACTGCCACTAGTACTATTATTATTATTTTCCTGAGCATTATTCATCATTAAATATTGCCTTTCTACAGGACTAATTTGCATTGAATATTCAACACGATAGGTGATTTGTCCAGCATTGTCCGTAGAGGTGGTGGTGCCGGTGCTGGTTGCGGTACCTTCATCCGATGATTGTAATTCTGGTTTCGTGTAGGCTTTCCATGTCATATATACCGCTAAATTATCATAGACTGGTTCAGCGATTGGTGTTAAACTATCAGTGATAATTTCTAAAAAAAAATGGAAACAGAAAAAGGTGTACGCAGTTTAGGAGTTATTGTGAAATGTTTTTGAAAAGAGTGGATACTGAACAAAGATTGCTCTTTGCGATAACACCTTCATCATTAGGCTCTACAGTTATAGATGCATTATGGTGAATGAATGAATTAGTGTTATGAACAACATTAATGTTGTTTAAATAACATCGAACCAATAATAGAAATATTAATAGATTACAGTTCGATAGCTTCAACATAACAATAAACTGAATGTCAGAAAAATTAGGAAAGATAATATTACAAATTCATGAATTTATAGTCTCTACTGAAGGCCAACCAGGGCAGTAGTAGGGGTTGGTTGGACTTGCTTCTTTTGAACACAGAGCACTGGTTGTTTGAGGTGAATTGCAATAGCCTCCTCTGTTTGGAGCATGTGGTGCTTCGATGATGACTGGCAATTTATTAGGTACCCGGTAGATGATGATAGAGAAGGATTCTTCAATGGTGGCTGGCTTCGCAGCCGGCCGGTTTGCACCAGATGGTCCAATATCGAATTGTTGATGATGGTTTTCACACTACACCTTTACTTAGCCATAGTGGGAGATGTTCTCGAGTGAGTACGAAAAATCAAGTTAGCAAAGCAACGGCCAATATAACTCGTCCCATCACAAGAGCAGTTGAATTGGTAGGTACAATTTGAAGTGGCCTGCTAGTCTAGGTACTTTATCTTTCAGTCGAGGTAGCACCATCAGTCGTGTAGAGAATAAGACGTGTAGTTCGCCAGCATTAAAAGCTTTCTGAAGTGATTTTCTTAGTTTCCTCGTAATTATCTCACTTGGTATATCGCTCTTGAATTGTATTCGTTTGTATAAAGGCTTCTTGTTTACGGATAGTGAGTAGTCCCTTTTCCTCCGCTTTCTTTGTCATGTGTTTCTTGAAAAATTTGTGGGGATAGCCATTTTCAATCAAGTTACCATATGCAATGCTTAATTCATCTTCAGTTACTTCTTCCGAGCATATAGCTCTAACTAACTTTGTGGCTGAGGATCTTTACTAAATTTCTTTTGTACTTGATAGGAACAAAGCTGTGAAAATGTGTGTATATTGTCCTGTCCAAGTACTTTTCCTATACAAATTTCTTTTTATGCTACCATCTGGTTTTCGTGTAAGTAGGACATCCAGGAAGGCAATTCTGTCTTGGGACTCCTCTTCGCATGTGAATTTCATAACCGAATGTACTTCATTTTTTTTTAAAAAAGCCTCAGTCAGCTGAAGCCGAATTCGATATAGTTGACCAGCTTGACAAAATGGAACACAGTGTCAAACTATGTCATATCAATCAATACATACACATACATACATAAGACACTACTGCGAAATCATACGCACAGTTGTGTGTAAGAGCAGCTTACGGAGAGCTGTTGTCATATGTAATGATGACAACTAGTGGTGTACATCAAGGATGTCTAATATATCCGGATTTTTGTTTAATTTCATCAAAGATGTACTCTAGTGGGATTAACTTTAACTGTTGACTTCAGCAACTCAAGGATTGACTTGTTACTACCAGCGAATAGCCTTGTCGACTCCCTCCTAGGTGAAGACACTGATGATATGCAAACTCTCCTGAACACCTTGAGCATCAAGTAATCTTCGAATGTTTCACAAGTGATTTGTTCCTGTCAAATGTAAGATGATTCTACAGGAGTGGACTGGACTACATTGACTCCTCGTTTAAAGATAAGCAGGAGTGAATTGGTTGATGGAGCGTGTTGGCCAGTTCACTTATTTGGTCGGTTGCATCAGTCCGAACTGGACTGACTGCTGACGAAATCTCAGCATGAAAACAAAAGGCTTGTAGGATTCTGGCATGATGTACTACCCAGCTAGATGGTTATCGGTCAAAGGATGTGTGTACTGCTCAACAGTTCACTTTGCATAGTTCTACTTTATGCCTGTGGTATATGGCCAGTGAAGTTGAAAGATATGAAGGAAGGCTGACTGACTGATTTGTTTCAACAGTTCGAGTCGCCACACTCCATGTAGCACGCAAAGCAAGAGAAGAAAGTTAAAAGAAATGCAAAATAGTGACAGTAAACAGACATATAAGGCAAAAAGAATAGTAATATCAAAGAACAATATAGTTTCATTGGAAATTATAAGTCACAAGGAATGGATGCATCAGCGCCAGTCATTTAGAACGATCGCAAGCCATATCACCGGTTGTCTCCAGCTATTCGTTTTTACCGTCCTGAGGACCCCAACCAGGAAGTCTACACCTCCCCTACGTGACTGACCAGTTTAAAATAACTATTGGGGATATCATTGACTGTTACTATGTTTTCTTTTGACCACCACTAGACCTTTTTCAGCCTGACCCTATGTCAGCTAACATCGCCGGTCGTCGAGGAAGGCGATGACTAAGCATACGTAACACATGTCCTAACCATCTCAGTCGATGTAGCTTCACAGCCCCTCCCACCTACCTAGCACATTCGACCGAAGCCTAACCTCAACATTACTCACCCTATTATACCACTTCACACGGGAGATCAAACGCAGGCACCTATGCTCAAAGACAACTAGTCTTTTCACATCCTCCATTCTCAATGGCCAGATCTCACAGTAATAAAGGAAGACGGAGCGGACTGCTTAACAGTAAGAAGGCTAGCTATCTTTTATCATACATGCTAGAGTCAGTAATATTAAGGTCAAGAAAATCAATCAATGAAGTTATGAAGTGCTACATCGATTGACATGACTAAAACATGTGTTACGTCTTCTTCCACAACGAGTAACACTAGCTGACATATAGGATTGATTGATCAGGTTGAAAAAGTGTTGGTAGCTGATCAAAGCAAAACATGGAATCATCCAGTCAATAAAATCTTTGACAGTTAATTTGAGCCAACCACATACAGAGAGAGGTGTAGACTACCACCAGTCGTCTGGTTGACATCCTCCAGATGCTTAGAAGCAAACAGGTTCAATTCTGTGCACAGTTCTACGTTGAAGTCAGTCAGATGCCTGTAACATCTCACAGATTCATATATCTATACATATGTGAAACGCGCAACGGTATTACGGAGAATGACACGATCGATGAATGCATATTTCTCTCTCTCTCTCTCTCACTCCTTGTTTCCTTAGTCACTATGACTCACGTCACGACAACACACGACAACAACAACAACAAGTGAAAACAAAATGAAAAACTTAAAACAATACAAAAAGTAGTAACACACACACACAAACCAACCCAATCACTCATCCCATCAACACAAGAGAATAAAATACACACTTATATACGCGGATGATTAGTCAGAACCTTCTCGAAATTAAAAAAAACCCAAATTGGCAAAAGACGACGATACCATTGTGTGTGCCTGACTGTGAGTGTGTGTGTATGTGTGTGGAAGCAGACGACAACCTAGGGGGCATGGGATGGGATGGGATGGAATGGAGAGATAGAAGTAGGCGCTTCCACTTTTGATTAATGTACTACTAACAATATACTGCTAGCATACAACGTCGACACACACACACAGTATTGATCCCATTCTAGGGATATATATATATATATAACAACCAACCAACCTACGAACCAACTGACCAATATAGCAGGCAAATAAATAAATACGTGTCGACAATTTATTTTTTTTTGTATTTTCCACTTTGCTATTTTGCTACGCTAACTAACTAACTAACTAAGTAAGTAACACTAACTAACTCGATTAGCGGAGAGAGAGAAAAGAGGGGCCAATGAGTTAAACACAGCGCAATATAACAATGACAACAGCCGTAAATAGACGATAAATGAAGCATAAGGCAATGAAAGACACATAGAACACACACCGACACACACACAAACAGAAATACTTTTTTATTTATTCAGTAGAAACAATCATAAAACTGAAGGGGGAGAAGTGGGGATAGGGAAATTGTTGTTTCTTTCCTTTCTTTTTGATTTTGATTTATAAATAAAAGAGAAAGAGAGAGAAACATTGGAGAAAAATTCTTTTTTTTTAATCCGGAATGTTAGTCAAATACGCATGCAAGCACGCACGCCCCACATACATCTTACGAAGGTATAAATATACCATTTCTGTTATTGTTAAAACAAATTATGTCTACGCTAGGAATGAGAAAAAAAATACCCGTCTAGACATAAAAAAAAGAAAAGAAAAACAGAGTTCAATGAGGAGAACCCTGTTCGACGATTTCATTCACTTCGTTGTACACACAACAACAACCATCATCGGAGAGATTTGATACAGGTTACTTCATGTCTTCACTTATCACTCCCTTCTGGCTAAGAAGCAGGCTTTCAACCACACGCAGTCGGAACGGATGTCTGTCTGTCTGTTTTCGACATAGAACTTTGCACAAATGTGCGGAAGTTCAAGTCGCCACACTCCGTGTAGCACGCGAAGCAAGAGAAGAAAGTACAAGAAAAGCATAATAGAAACAGTGAGCAGAGGTGTGAGACAAAGGAGTAATAAAGAAGAACAAAACAGTTTCATTGGAGATCATAAGTCACAAGGAGTGGATGCATCTGCGCCACTGAGAACGATTTTGAGCCATGTCACCAATTGTTTCCAACCATAGATTTTTACCGTCCCGAGGACCCCAGCCTGGAAGTCTACACCTTCCTACGTGGCTTAGACCAACTGTTGTGGATTTCATTGACTGTGATGCCAAGTTTTTGTTTGACCGCCGCTAGCTTTTTTCCAGCCTGACCCTATATCCGCTAACATTGCTCGTCGAGGGAGGCGATGACTTGGCATACGTAACACATGTCCTAACCATCTCAGTCTTTGTAGCTTCACGACTTCGTCGATTGATTTCCCCTGTTTACCTAGAACTCTACGCCTAACCTCCATGTTGCTCACCTTATTATGCCACTTTACACGGGAAATAGAACGCAGGCACCTATGATCAAAGACAGCTAGTCTTTTCATGTCTTCCACTCTCAGTGGCCAGGTCTCACAACCATAAAGGAGGACGGAGCG